GTTCTCCCCCCCCCCCCCCCTTTTATTTATACAGCTCTAAACTCTTGCATATTTTCATTTTGAGGGAAATATATCAACACTGGATCAAATAGGAGCCTTAAATGTTGTATAATGAAATTATGCTAATTTAACTGCCACACACAGACAGTTTCAAATCTCTTCTTAAGAGCTACACTTCCTAAGCAAGGAAACACTTTCATGCACCAAAAAAAGCAAATTCTGACACCAATTAAATGAGGAATAATTATAATTGACAATAAACCACTCTACTTTCAAAAGGTACAGTGGTTGCACTACACTAATTGAAACAATATTTTTAAAACAGTGAGAGAAAGATAGCAGGTTACCAATGTTCACAAATTATTATTCACAGAAACTAATGTATGGGCTCTGTACCTCTGGATTTTAAATACACCTAGACTTAATACAAAGGAAGATGAGACACAAAAGTAGTGGCATTGTTTTAATCAAAGATGCTTTTTCCTGGCCATCTGGTCACTTTATTTTCTACCCTGAATTCATATACAGAACATGGGACCAGCAACACTCATCAGAACAGACACAGAACAACTTGATACTGTACAATCATTATGCCAACAAACCCAGTTTTTAGCTGCAGGGGTCATGGTTTGTTCAAGCTTTTTCTTTAACAGAGACAATTCTGTCCACTCTTCTAGTTTTATACATATGCATGTGTGAAGAAGGGACTAAGAGATGACTGTCAAACACTTGCTTTACTTGTGAAACTGCAACCACAGGTCTTGAAAAATGAACAGCTACCATATACGGTTCAGATCGGGGGACAAGGAACAGGGCAGACTGGATAGCCATCTACCAAGTTCAAGGGCTTTTCCCTGTGGATTTCAGGCTCTATGGATCCTAGAGGCAACAGAAATCACTCATGCCACTCCCTTCCCTCGGGGTCCCAGTTATGAACCTTTTGTGTCTTCAGGCCCAGAACCCTTCTTCCACAAGTTTTATTAATAATGATCCAACAAGGATACTGCACCATCAAAGCTTCACAAGCTATGCTATATTAGTATACACAGATATATCATCTAAGGTGGATATCAAATTGGCTCCCCACTGTGGTCCCCACAAAGTCACATCTGAACCAAGCAAGGACTGAAATTGAAATGTCTTCCAATGCTTTCAGGCTCTGGCACAATGCTTCAACATGATGCAGGCACCAGCCCACAGTCGAATCTACGCTATATAGTGAAATCACTGGCAACAATTCTGTTGTCACTTGAGTTTCCTCTGGTGGTTTCATGCATAAAGCAATTCGACTGTAATTCTCCTCAACAACAGAATTAGAAAAAAAAATTCCTATAAAACCCATTTTTAAATAATAGCAACCTGGAAAAAAAAATGACAGGGAGAAGC